AGTCACCCGAAATCGAAAACCGTAATCGGAAAATACGATTTCTCCAAGGAAATCAAGGAAAGTTGGATTGGATTTCAAGGAAAATTGTTTGGAACTTTTCGTTTCCCTCACCATTATAATTCCTACTATTCAATGTTCGCATACTTCTGCTGATTTCAGTTTGGTTATTGAGTGTTATGTGCTTTGAAATAAATCGATGTGAAAAGGGAACATTTTCTCCATGCGAGTGGTTTTATAACCACCACAGTCTAGAACACGAGATTGAAATTGCTTCGCTTTATTTAAAACTCCACGGGAGCATCATTGTCCAGAGTTTCTAGCGTTGTGGGAGTCAACCAAGCACAAGAAGAATGACATCTCACAAATGTATCCTCACAAGAGAATTTACCCTTGTTAAGGACTTCGAGGAGCGGTTGGCATCGGCCGCCTAACTGATATACCCAACTAGGAACTACTTTTTCGGGTTTTCGGATCCAGTCAAATGGAGGTCCAAGTGCAGGTCTCAGCGGGAACTATCGAATATTATGGAAGATGCCCCAACAATGAGCCAATGTTGGACTTGAAGAGCAGAGCCCAACTGGCTTCTGCACACTGCCGCCAACCTGGACCGAAGGCGAAAGGTGAAAACTTGTGCTAAGCGATAATGGTATTTCTGCTCTTCTGAAAATGATGTTGTGGGCCCTGTTAAACGTTATTTCAAATGGAAACCTGATTTTAGGCAATAAACTCCAAGAGTCAAATAGAGTAGAACTTTGTCATGGGCGACGATGTGCCCGACCGTTCAGGCGCTTTCCCAAGTCTTAGTATTCAGAGAACTGTGGTCTGGGCTATACAAGGATGGCCAGGCGAATACAATGCTTCCCTTCGATGGTCAGAACAAGCCGAACAAACGGGTTTGTATTACAACACCAGGTTTGCTCCGCCCGCTATCGCGCGCATCGGTAGGGAGGAACCACGGAATAGCAGCATGACGTACTCCATTAACCACCTCACTATTGAATGTGTTATACCTCCTTATACCCCTTCTCTCCGGCGCATGGCAGCACCATGTTCTCTCTCCCTTTCTCCTCTCCCCTTCCCTCCCTTCCAGCCTCCCCGTTCTTGCCCCCTTCCCTCTACCCTTCTCCACCCTCCCCCTTACTATGGAGAGCTGATTGAGTCATATAGTTACAGCTAGACTCTGCGCACAACATCCCGCAGGCGAGGATCGGGCTCTACGA